GTTGGCGACCACGAAGGACCTAGAAGGCCATGTGGAGAAGCGCGAGAACAAGATTTGTTCTCTGAGAAAGGCGGCATAAACGATCGACCAAAAATCAAGGGGATCAATGATCGAGAGAAGGGCGACCTGAACAAGACTGGGATTGCGGAGATCGAGGAGATTCGACGAGCGATCGAGGCACCGGGACGATACTCGCACGTAGGCGGGGTGTGGAACCAGGTAGATCAAAGCTGATCGACACATGGAGAGTGGTGATGCCTCGTCCCACACCGATCGAAGAGGCGCGGTGCGAAGGGCGCATGTCGAAAGCGAAGGACGTCATGCACGAGGGCAAGATCAACGAGCGACATCGTAGAGTGGGACGGCTGAAGACCGAAGTGGACTGATCGCGATCGAGAGCTGTGGATCGTCGATCGTCGATCGCCGATCAGCCAAGATGGGGAGCACATGGGGGCGAAGCCAGGACAAGAATCCAGTAGTTGTTTAGCTGTAGGATGGTAGGTGAGATGGTAGTGGTAGAGAGACACCAGCTAAACATAAATCAGAGCAGAATTTGCACCGAAGAGCACAAGTCCCCTCAAGTCGTCAAGTCCCAGGAACTACATTGGCCTCGGCAAGCATCGACACTTTGGACAGTGAGCTAGTGGTACGGTTAAGACTGGATTAATACATTGGCCAGCTTGACCTACTCTAGCGATCTATTTCTTGTGTGCGAACCCTCGATCGACCGGATACTGCTTGGCCGGCGATCGTTTCTCCTCTCGATCAACCTCGATCCCGCTATAGGAAGCGGCAAGCAACTCACGAAAGGAAGGAACACACCCGGAAAGGCAACTACAGGCCGTGGATCGACTCCAGGCCGACCGATCGGAGCGAACAACCCTCGATCGAAGCGTATACTCGGACGCAGAGCGAAGATTCCCGCGCTGCTCCACAACCTATCCCCGCGTCACGCCAATACATTCGATCTTCACCAGATTTTGGCCGATCCCGCTACACCACAGCCACATCCTAGTTTTCGGACTCGCTATTGTCGATCAAGAGGATTACGCATTGGAGCTGGTTCCTGCAGAACATGAAAGACGCGCTTCAAGACGTCTCGGCGTGGAAACCTGTGTTCGTATCGGACAGACAGAAGGATCTCCTGGCGTCTGTGACGGAGTTGTATCCGGATTCCGGACATCGATTTTGCGTTGGGCACATTATCACCAACATCGAGAAGAAGGGCTCCGCGCTGACGCCGGCAGAACAGTCACTTGTGTTTCAGATGGCACGTAGCGAATGCGAGAACGACTACAAGTGTTACAGCTCAAAACTCTCGGAGACTCGCCCTTTGGCTGTGGAGTATCTCGCTGGAATTGACAAGTCGCACTGGGTGACATACGCGTTCAACGAGAAGTACAACCAACCCTCTTATGACGAGGTCACTTCCAACCTGTCCGAGGCAGCGAACAGTTGGTTGGGCAATGCAGTGCGGTCGTCCTACCCCTTGGAAGCTTTCGAGCAATACTTCGTCAAGGTGGTTGAGCTGTTCGCCGAAAGGCGCCGCACCTCCTCGCGACAGAAGGGTCCAGGTAGCAACGCAGGACACGCAAGCACCTCCCAAGGTGAGCCGTACGACGATTGCGAAATTGACGTGATGAGGACCACCCCTGCAGCCTTCTCGGACTTTCTCCTTCCCACCTACAAGAAGAAGCTCGACGGGATCATGGCTCTTACGAAAACCCTGCAGATTTTGCCGTGCCTTGATGGCCAGTACATGGTGCGATTCACGGACATCAGCAGCAGACCGGACCACGCCCATCTGTGGCGAACCGTGAACTTGATCGAGAAGGAATGCAACGTGCCGACGCTGGCAAGACCTGATGTTCCCGTGTGTCCATGCAGTCAAAGCTGCAATTCATCACGGAATGCACGTGAGCGAGCTTTTCGCCTGGAAGGAACACACCGTGTCGGTCGCGCGGTGGACATATTACTACCAGTTTGTCCCGACCGTCCGCTCGGCGACCATCGCTCAGGATCTTCAACTGCTAGTACCTGAAGTCATCGTCACTGAAGCTGACTTAGGGAAGCGTGGCATGAAGCCGGGTCCAAAGCCGAAGAACAAACGCAGGTCTACACGACCAGGTTCTGCGGCGTCGCCTGCCATTGCTATGACTCAATAATACTAGAGCTGCAAGACGTATGCAGTACAGTCGTAAGTCTTTGCAAAAGCATAACAAAGCAAAAATTACATTTCGAATTCTTAGTGTCAATACGTCGAGAACGGACCTTGGTTTTCTTAAAATTCTTCTCGTACGAAAATGATATCATAAAATTCTTATTTACCTTTAATAGAACTTGGATCGAAGGAAAGTATTATACACGTGATAGTTCAAGGATAGATAATATACTGCAAGGATAAACTTAAGTGAAGATATTATATCTGTAATATCGTACGAATGTGTTACTTTGATGCTTACTGTGACTTGACGAAAATTGGTATTCCATAGCAACAATTCGCACGATCGTACGACTTTACTTCCCAGTAATACAACTCGTTCTTGTGCGCTATTATTGATACTGACGCAATGTAAATGAAAGAAGTATATACAACAAATTTATTATCATTTGCTGCTTAGACCATTTCATCAAAATAAAGTGAAAAAAATATTTTTAATTACTCAAAAATGAAGAAAATAAAGCTGTATGGCTAGCCGGATGGCTACATCCGAATGGGAACTCTACACGTAGGGCAGTTAGCTACATCTTCGGCCTGAATGCTTCTCGCCACGTACATTGACATGCACTCGGCACACATGGCATGTCAGCATGAGCGCGGGGTGACCGGCGCCACTGGCGCGTACTAGCAAATGGCGCAAGTTGATAGGTCCTCGTCTTGGTCCTCCTCCCCCGTAATGTCGATCACCGTTGGGGGAGCTGGTGCCGAGAAAACACGACGTCGTCGAGCAGAGCGGGGAGGTGAGCTCTGAGCTAACTCAATGTCCCCAGGCACAGACAGGACGAGCGACTCAACAACAGTCGTGGTCACGTCACCTGCGGCCGTAGTGATGATACACAGGTCAAGCTCGTTAAGCGCGTCACGGCGAGCGCGGTGGTACAGCTTATCGTACTCGCGCTTGTAGGCTCGGGCCTTTTCCAGTCGCTGAGCCTTTAGGATCGGGTACCGCTTTTCCAGGCACGCACGCTTGCCAACGAGCTGCCGCAGACTTGAGACAGCCCAGTTGGTGTTGCACAGGGGGCAGTTGGCACCATGATGTTTTCAATAATGAGGCACCTACTTATTTTGTTATCGCTGATGTTCCGTTTGCTCGTCCTCCATCATCTTCATATCTTACCCTGTCCTTAATTCTTATCGCGTTTTCAAGTTCTGATAAAACGTTATTTTTGACCGTGGCAATCTACTTGCAAGTTGATGCATTCACCTACTTAGACTTTTACAAAAATGCTTCAATCTACTTGAATTACTTAATTCCTCCATATGCGCACTACTTATTAGGGCATCTCCACCGGTGCTGAGTAATACTAAAAGCAAATTGCCCTAAGATCCGTGCCTACAACGGCACAACCGTGCTAAAGACAGTGCACAGCTCCACCGGCAATTGAGACTCGCAGCAAGCGCGTTAAAGCTCTTGGTTCGGCGCCAGCCATGGCGACGGCGCACAGCTGTATAGCCCTATAAAGGGCCCGGCAGCACGTTGAGGAAGACCCAGGGATGACGTAGCAAGGGCGACACTGCGGTCTGTGACGCTTGCGCTGCTTAGAACGCTTGACTTGGCCCTACTACTGGTCGGTCGACATTTACATGTACTCAACCTTTTACTCAAAGCCTCCTCCGTTGGCAAACTTGTGCAAAACTTTGATCTGCGTAAAAAATGGAGCAATTTGCTCAGCATTTGCTCAAACCGGTGGAGCTGTACAAAACTAAAACTATGATTAAATATTGACAGAAAAGGGGTTTTACTCACGACCGGTGGAGATGCTCCTAGTGCTGATTCATACTCTTTCGTAAGACGATACTTAGCCCCAGAATGCCTATCATAAGACAAAGCGTCTTACGTTTTCCGATCAACGCGTTTTGACTACAACTTGGTTGTTGTATACCAGTGGCTACATTGCATATTGTCTGTCAAAACATAAGACAGTTTGTCGGACACTAGTTTGCGCCATACAATTGGCCAAAAATGTTCAGGTCTGCTCGCCACGACAGCGGCATCGTTGCCGCGGACGCGGTGGCAACGTTGAGCGCCGAAACGATGCAGTTGCATGATGCGGTAGGGTAAGTAGCCTCCTGTTCACACACGAAGCGATGTGCCTGTAGTTGGCCGCTGGCAGCAAGCTTAAATATCGGCATAATGACTGCACGAACGCGTGCATGCAGTCCGTGGAGCTGTTTCACTCAGAGGTGCAGCCGTTGAAGGGCACGGAGTTACGATGAAGTTTGTAGACGTAGACTAAGAGGGACAAATAGCTCGTAACGGTACTACATGTACATTTTAATGTAGTAATTTTTATGCTTGAGCGTACATCATAGTAGTTGTGAAGGCGAGGCAGCCAGGGAACGGTGTTGCCAGTGGGCTTCCCGAGATCCTCCGACCCCCTCTTACCTAATCATTACAGTCCAGCAACAAAATGCAACCACGTACTCTGCAACGGCGATAACACCTAGATATTGTACCTACGACGCTGAGGTGCGGAGGAGCTCCACACTGCTGCGCGGGCGCTCGGCGCGCGCCATATCGCTGCTGGGCTCGACCTTCGGCATCGGCGAGTTACTCGGTATCTCCTGCAACTAAGCCACTGCCTGCAGCCATGCTTTTTGTCGATGCTACAGCGTAGACGGGTTTGCGTATGCGCCCTCTATCCGAATCTCCATCTTCTATGTAGTGTTAGTACTTTACTGTAGAAAGGAGAGTCGCGTGGTGGGGTGAACGACTGTTGCCGTTCACCCCAGTATAGCGAAGAAACATTGCTCCACTACGGGAACAAACGGTCGTATGATAACTGTGCTATGATGTCCTTACATTCCATTCCTGGCAAGTATATTTAAATCTTCTAGCAGGAGGTTAGTGCATGGCGTCAGGATCAAAAGCCCGGACATTTTTCAAGTGCGCTGCCTCTAGTAAAGGGGGCAAAATGCGCACACAGATGAATCAGTCCAATTTACGAGCCGAGATGCAGCAACACTCAAAACTACATAATACAATATTATCCAATGAAATTGCTACATTTGATTTGTCGTCAAACTGTCTTACAAATGCTCGACACAAGTGATTGACCATCCACGACTTACAGCAATTCGTACTCGAGTACGATTTATAGTCGTGCTCGATAAGTCGTACGAGTTATTGTGCTTTGCACTTATTTTGCCGACCATTTTAGACGCTAAATATGGCAAAGCCTGCTCCTAAATTTGTGTGAAAGAAGATACACGGCCTGCTAAAATTATGCATAAATTCACCTCCTCATATATATATCGACTTGGGAGGGCCTGTCAGCAGCCATGCATTGGCCCAGTACACCACCGTCCATGATCCCCAGCACATCCACCCTCTTATGCATAATTGCCGTGTGTGTAGGTGCTTGTGGATAAAAACCGACAGAATTGCAGCTGCACAGCCACAATTGCACTTTTGAAAGTGCAATTATGGCGCTTTTAGCGTAATTCTAGGCCTCCACCCATTTATGCACCTCGATTTATCGTAAATCTAGCAGGTGGTCGTAATAATACAGCAAATCTCGCCTCATATTGCCAAAATCATTGCAAAGCACAAATACAGTCTGAAGTGCCAAAAAGTACAATATGTGTTATTATAATAAACCTGGCGAGATGTGCGCCTAAATACTTTTGTCCAATAAAAACAGAAACTACATAGTGATTATGTCCAATTAAAGCGAATATGTGGTCTACATTAAAGAGAAGTCGCACTCTCTCGCCAAACCGCAACACTGCCGCTCTGCAGCCTGGAGTCGAGGAGATAGCCGCATTCGTGGACGACAGCGTCTTCACTCAGTTGAGCGCGAAACTGGGGGACGCGAAGGAAGGCAACGAGGGAGCACTGGAGAAGAAGCCTCTTCGCATCGATGAGTATTTGAAAAAATATCGCGACGCGGGACTCCGGGTCTCTCAGAAAGAATTTAAGGGATACTTGGAGGTGAAGATTGGGATCGTATACGAGCACCCAGACGTGACGGTCGATCTTGCGGAAACCATTACGGTCAAGACGATTGAAGACCTCCTGGCAAAGTTTGTTCCCGAAGACAACCCCCTCATCACCAAGCTGGGTGAAGACGAAATGATTCGACTCTCGGATGCGTTCACTAAAGTCACGTACGTCGGCAAGGTCCAAGACGACCTCGCAGAATACCTGCGGGACTGCTGGAAAGAGTACAACCCTGCAAAGTACAAGGCGCCATGTGTGGCGGTTGTGCAGAGTTCCGGCTTCGGCAAGAGTCGGACAGTGCGTGAGCTTGCGCTCAAGGCAGAACGAGAACCGAACTTGAACCTGAAAGTTTTGTGCATGTGCGCGCGTGTGCACCGATCGACGGGGTTTCCGGAGGCTACGAGTAAGCTTCGTGATTGGCTGTTTGACCCTGCCGCCTCCTCAGTGCAAGAGGTCGCCAGGCGATTGAAGGCGATTTACTGCTATGCGAAAGATCATTGGGCGGACGTTCAGACGGAATGGCTGGAGCTGTTTATCGACAATGCAACTGACAGTTCCGTGTGCGGCCAAGCTTTTGAAAGAAACAGAAATGATAAAGGCGTCCGATTCAGCATCCGTACCGGACACCTTTATCCAAACTACGGGTACCTCCACCGTGAAGGATCCAGATGGCAAAATGGTGGTTCTGGTGATCGATGAAGCGAGAAGTCTGCTGGCTGAGGTGGATGGCAAGAAGAACGATTTTCGTATGTTGCGAAATGCTCTTAAATCCGCTAACGAAGATATCGGCCCCGAAGGAGGCATTTTCGGCGTGCTGACTGATACGAACTCGCAGATCTCGGACCTGACGCAGCCTCTGTTGTTGGACCCATCTTCTCGGAAATCTGGAGGTAGTTTGGCATCGTTCGCGCCGCTTGTACTAGCTGATACGATGGACGCACACTGGGATGACTACTTTGAAGATGAAGAGATAAACGAGGGAACCCAAGTTGCGGTGGGAGCTGAAGACGAAGAGAAAACCAAACAGCAAGAACGTGCTAAGATAGCCATGTACAAGACCGTCGTAACTGGAAGTGACGGTCAGGCCTGGGAGGCGTTGAGGCGCATGGGCCGCCCGATGTGGTACAGCACTTACCCCGATCCAGCTCATAAGTTCGCGTGATTGATCTCGCGGCGAATAAACTGCTACTGGGGATTCCCCCTTCGCAAAATGCGTACAACAAGGATACCATGTTTGGTGTCGCCTCCATGCTTTGTCGACTGGGTGTTCGACCGCATTCGACGTCGGCTTTGGCATCTCGGGCCCCCGCTGACTTCATGGCGATTCTCGCGTATGTGAACTTCAAACGAGAGGGTTACGTCACCAGCTACGCTTCGGACCCAGTGCTCGCCTTAGGAGCGATGAAAGTGTGGTATGAACTGAAATATGGTCTGGCAAAGTATATCCTGCCGCAACTCAAGAACCTCCTTTTGGATGAAGCGTTGGACACTGGTGGAGTTGGCGAAATTGGCGAGATGGTTGCTCGCATTCTGCTGCTTCTAGCGATGGACACGTGTGTGATGGGGGACAAAGACTTTTCCCAGTGGTGCCACACGATCGGGCAATTTGTACCGGTGCAGCAATTCTTGAAGGTGCTACAAGGCAAGAAAAAGCTGCCGATATATCTCAAGCGGATGATCAGCAAGGAGAATTTGAGACCAGAATTCAACAAGTGGTGCTCGAAGTGGGATGGTTGGTACATGGGGTTCACCCACTTTGTGCAGTTGCAGCTTGAGCCGAATGAGGACACGCTTTGGTTTTTGCTGGGGCGTCAAGCTGCAGGTATTTTCCCCCGTAACCAGTATGGAGCCGATTTGTTGATCCCGATGTTTAAGAAGAGATCCAACAGCAGGCCAGTCGGTGGGGAGACAACGAGGGGTGAACAAGAGGAGCAGGAAGTGTTGATGATGTTGATTCAAGTGAAGAATCGTTCCCCAGTCGATGGTGGGTTTTCCAGGGCAGCGACGGAGAAACTATGCCCCTGGTTTGTGTTCGGAAAGAACAGTGATGGGAACTCGTCAGCGGGGAAATCTACCGGTGAAATTGGTGGGGATCCGAAACCGCTGAGCTCCACGGATGTCCGTGATACCATTCGCATCTACATGAATGTGCGCGGTCGGAAGAGTGACGGCAAGTTCATCTATGCCACGACAATGAAAGACAATCTTAAGCCCAAGAAGAAAGGCAACGCCTCTGAGGTGAAGGAGGAGAGTCAGACGATCGGGAGTCAGGCGAAGAAGCGGGCGAAGATCGAGAGCAATCCTGGCGTCTCAAGTGTGTCGAGTGTCTCGGAGGAGGATCCTGTTTTCACGATCTGCCTCCGTTTGCTCAACAGGGTCACCTACCCGTTCCTGAGCGACGGCGTGGCTTCCATGCTATCAAACATGGTGGAGTCTCAGTATGACCCGCTGGGGCTTGTGGAGGGCGACCTGGACTATCGCGATGAAGATGAAAAACGAAACAAGGACGTTAGTTCGTATGCAAAGTTGTCGCTTACCGCGAAGCGCGACAAGTTGTTGCAGAACGCCCGTAAAGCACTAGCGTACGCGCCGGGTGACAAGGAAGAAGAGTGACGCTGAGAGTGACGTTGGTGGCAGTG